ATTTCTTATAATGGTAAGAATTTGTGCATCGTGATCACTGTATTCTAAATCTTTTGTTTCAATATCGAGGATGGTTTTGTTAATTTTGATCTTTCGTCTTTGAATTTAGTGTAATCCGTGTAGGTACATTTATTGTAATATCTGAACTGAAGGAATGTCTTTAATTGAGAAACGACTCTTTCTCGCAGGATTCGACCAGAAAATCAATGTTCAAATCTTTACATATAACAATAGATGCAAAAGCGCGATTGGTGACTTTGTGTAATGTTATCTCCAGCTTTTTATGAACGTCATATAATCAACTGCTCTCGTTGTTGGAGGCCTGTAGATGCAAAGTAATATACTTTTTGGCGTATACTACAAATATTTGAAACACATTTTCAACGGAATACACATTTAATTCCGTCAAGGAAATAGAAACGATATTTTTTCGAACGTAAATGCAATGTGTAGTGATTCCTTTTCTCTACAATAATAGCCTGTGAGGTAAAAGTTTGGAATTAGGAAAATGCTAAGTTCATTATGAAATAACCAACGTTCTGTATAGCAAAGGACATCCATTTGATTTAAGGCTAAATGTCTCGACACTAGTACAATTTGTAACCACCACGTGGCAGCACCAAAATAAGTAAAATTTACTTTACTGATGTCTGACCCAATAGTCCGATTTTTAATCTGAAAACGACATTTGACGCCTTTTTAAAATAGAATTTACGCTACGAAGCCCTTTTTTCAAAAATCTAGCAAAAATTTGAATTTGAAATTACGTTCTCGAACTTTCGAGAAAAAAATAAAAAAAATGTGGGCTTATAGCGCGATTACGACGTACTTCCTGAATCCAACGCCGTGACAATCATGCAAATCGGACGAATATGAGCGTGGTATAGTTAAATTAGGAAAACACCTCGCCCCCACCCATTCCCCTTCTCAACACTAGCGGCTAGCGGTGAATCAAGATTTTCTCAAAAACTGATGTTCCTCATTCGATCTGCCTGATGTCACGGCCCCTTGAATGTGAAACCGATATTTTAATTTTGGAGGGTACTTTACATGTAGCCTCTAGGATATTTTAAAAAATGGCACCAAATTGTTTTATTAAATTTAGTGTTTTGGATAGTACGAAGGACATTTAAGGCTAAATGCACCGAAAAATACTTGTAGGAAAATTCAATAGATCGCAGCACTATCACAAGGGAATTTACTTTACCGATAACGTCTAAACAAATGGTCCGATTTTCGATCTGTAAACGGCATTTAACGCCTTTTTAATATAGAATTTACGCTACGAAAAATGTATTCAAGAAAAAAGTGAAGAAGTGGAAGAACATAGCAACAAATGGAGATATTAAGAAATTTTCCAATTCATGCGAAATATGATCACGGAGTGTAAACCAACAATGGCGAATGTTAAGAACGTGAACGACAAAATAAATACAACAAAAGAAGAGATCACGAAAAGATGGGAAGAATACACGAAAAAAGTATATGAGAAGAACTTACAAATATAGTAGTGGATAAATATAGATGATTACGAATAAGAACTAGAGATAGAAGAAATGCATTGGGCGACAAAACCACTGAATAATGGTAAGTCCCCGGCTGTAGATAATATTCAAATCGAACTATTTAAAGATACAGGAGAAGAAATCTTGACAAAACCAACACAATTATGCAATGTGATTTGGAAAGGATTAGTGAACAGCAGATTTGCAACGCACTATAATTATTCCATTACCAAAGACAGTAGACAGCCGAGATTGTGCAAATAACAACACAATTGCATGAATACCATGAGATTCAGTCAATCGGCAAAAGTCAGCCTTCGGAAAAAGAGGAAAAATAAGATTTTAAACATGTTAATGATGTAAGCATATACTTTCTTAAGATTTTCAAAAACAATTCAAATTGAAAGAAACATCATTTTCTATCTCCTCTGGAAAGTTGTGTAGATTACATTACGTCGCGTAAGCATTAGCGTAAAGCATATCCTAAGATCATACTCACAGAATAAGTTTTCCTTGGTTTTTAAACTCGTTTGAATGTTCCATATTATTTATGTCTTTGTGGCCGATACGTCATGAAAGAGTCACATGCAACTGGTTTTGCATACTGAAATTTCTACAGATAACTTTTTATAGAAAATCCATTTTTATAAAACAAAGAAAATGGAAGAGAAAACACGCTCCAAATGCAAGCAAACCTCTAGGAGTTGACCAATTGCATCACTATCCTTTATGTATTCATTTCCGTAGTCTGTACGAAATGACACACCAGAAATTATTTATTCCCTTCAAAATCATACAAATATGACATATTTATTTTATATCAAAATAACTTACCAAGTAAGCTGGAATTAGCCATGATTCATAATATCATATTTCAAAGCTTGTTACGGCGTTGGAGCCAAAATGCACCTCACCAGCCCACTATTTTACCACCTTTTTTAAAATTTCAAGTCGTAGGCTTCCGCGGCCAGAGTCATGTGCATGATCTTGGTTGTCCGGGTGACGCCGCGTCCAAGCTGTGTTGCCGACGTTTCGACCATCTTGTCGCGGCCTTCTTCAGGGCTGGTATGTCATGGGCATATCACCCGTACAGTCAAGATCATGTACTTTTTTAAATTTGTCCGAAAGTACGAAAACATTTTTAAAATTAGCTTCGGCCATTTTACTTGGGAAAAGAGATTCACCAGATGAACTCATTAAATCAGGTAAACGTCGTTTTGAGATCAAAAATCGAGTTGTAGGATAAAAGAGCTCGTGCGTATACTCCGCTCATTCTTTCCGGTATTTGAACCCGGAAGATCTTAGAGCAAGGTGGAATGTTAACAGAAAACCTTAGAAGTAATATATATCTAAAATAAGATGTGAGGAGATGGAATAATGGTTATATTTACAAAATTAGTTCATTTTTTTAAAAACCAGTTTCTAATCGGAATCGATATTTTGAGTATTGCCTCAAACAATTTTAAGATCGTATTCGAAGGAAGACGGAAATATGTGAAAAATATAGTTATGTACTACTATTACAGACCGTTTACCTCCGTCAGTAACGGTAGTATAGCATCTCTAATTTGGTATCTGTGGAAAAATAGACTGAGATGCAAAGAGACGAAAGCCGAAACCGACTGTCTGGCTTGCGTATCCCGCAAGTCCCGCCTGCTCCGCCGGGGCTGGCCGCACGCCGCCTGGCCTGGTCGTGCCCCCGCGCCGACAGAGGGCCCACATCAATCGGGTGGGTGACGCAACGGCGAAGAAGGGGAAGGGGGGGGCGAGGTGTTTTCGTAAATTTCACTTTACGATGCTCCTATTCGTCCGATTTGCATGATTGTCACGGTGTTGGATTCAGGAAGCATATCGCCATCGCACTATAAGCCCACATTTTTAAATTTTATCTCGGAAGTTTGAGAACTAATTTCAAATTCGAGATTTTGCTATATTTTTGGAAAAAGGGCTTCGTAGCGTAACTTCTATATTAAAAAGGCGTTAAATGCCGTTTACAGATCGAAAATCGGACCATTGGTTCAGACGTTATCGGTAAAGTAAATTTTACTAATTTTGGTGCAGCCACGTGGTGGCCACAAATTGTACTAGTGTCGGGACATTTAGCGTTAAGAGAATGGTGCAGGTCTCATTTTCGTTGACATCCCTGATTTTTCGAAAATGGCAAAAGTTCAGTGTATTTTTGACGTCTTCCTACAACCAAAATATTGAAGATAAGAGGTTTTTTTTCTTAATGAAATGTGTTCCTTAAGAACAAATTTTGAAATAACCTCATGCAATTTTTCGATAATTTGATTACTTTTTGCGAGAAATAGGCAATGTTTGATTTTGTTTAAACCATTTTTTCTCAGAAATGGCAACATTTAAAAAAATTAAATTTTAACATCCGATAGTGTAAAGGACACTTAACAGCAAAATATGCACCGGACTCATGTTCGTTAAAATCCCATTTGTTTTGGAAATTGCAAGATTTCAAATTTTATTTGAGAGTCTTCCTCCAGATATACTTATAAATATAATATTTTCTTAATGAAATATGGTCACGAAAAACAGTTCTTCAAATAAGGTCATTTCATTTTTTTTAAATGAGAATTTTTTGTGTAATTTGGAGTCAAACATTGGCAATTTTTAAATTTTAAACAATTATTTTCTCAGAATCGGCTCCACTTTTTTTTGTTTTATTTTTTATGTTACAAAGAACGGGGAAGATAGTGGTGCTGGTTTCATTTTCGTTGCACTCTGTATTTTCGAAAATTGGAAAAATATTCGAAATTCTAATTTCCCGCGCTTTAAGGCAGTGTCGATATATGATGCCATCGCCTCATGCAGTGTCAATTTATAATAACCTTAAATGAAATTAGCACAATTATGTTTTATTGGACAAAAACTTACAAATTACAAAATAAAAAATATATATTAAAAATAAACATTGCAAATGTACAATTTCAATAATTGTTTTTTGTTAAATGAAATCTATTCTAAATAATAATTTCTTTAAGAAAGGTATGTTCTTTTTAAATGTGTTTTTTGGGTAACTTCGCTTATTTTAACTTCCTGTGCTCAATTTACTACCCTTCAGGAAATATCAAATTGGAATGCGCCAATGGCATTCCGCCCCGAGAGACGGCAGTTGTAGTTCTGTGAATTTTGTCACATTGTTACGTCTGATTTAGCTGTATGAAACGCAGTTGTCAAATTTGTGTTGGTATTTGCTTGAAATATTTACTTTTCTCACTTTGGAACTAATGTTCTACGATTTGTAATGAGTTTTATAAAAAATAATGAAAGATGAAAGTCGGACAGAAATTTCGGTGTAAATAGAATTACGAAACCATCTCTAAGAGACGAGAAAATATAAGCTGTTTAGTTCCTTCAGTCTAGAAGTGAAGCCAGTGATGACGTGTGTGTGTGTGTGTGTGTGTGTGTATGTAATTGGAATAAATTAACAATTTTCAAGTCTGCTTTGATAACTAAATAAACTTACCTTTTTTCTTTCAGGAAAATGGCCGATATACCCAGGCTGAAGTCGGCTCGATTTGCAGAATACATAAATGGACTCGACATTCCGGACGGCGAGATACAACAGATTGTGTTTCTTCGAAATATATGCAACATGATAATTGATAGGTAGTATGCGGTTTCATTTCATGTTGTAAAGTACATAGAATTAGTTCATATCCTGCAACTAGAAGTCAGCTACATTCAAAAGGATTTACCACTTTTTACATACTTGACATTTACGTATTTCTTATTATGTGCTCGGCAAAAACGTTTTAATATTTTCAAAATCATTTTAAAATTTAAGACAAGCATTGTGTAATTATTACTTTGAAGAAGTTACCATTGATATTGGTTCAATGTTTTCCTTATGGGTGGCTGTAACTAGTTAAACAGGTATATTAGTATTGCACAACTTTTCTTGAACAATGGATTGGAGAATGCGGGTAGAATGGGGGAATTGGTTACAATAACGGCCACTAGATTTTATGAAGCAATGCCAATCTCTGGAGAGTCAGTCACGCCTTCGCAATCTCTCAATAATTTGCGTTTTAACTTTCTCAGGAGTTCGAGGTATCTCCTGTGATGAACCTTCACTACCTACGGTCATTTATTTAGATTTTTTTGGAGAAAATCTCGGACAGTGTTTGAAATGTTGTCATCATTGCTCACTGCGAGCTTTTGTCTTCAACTGTCGATTGTGACAGAGAGGAGGAAGCAAGGTCATCGTTCAAGAAAAGTTGTGCGATTAATAACTGAATTATCAATACAAATGTCCAGAAATTTGAAGCAAATCTGGTGCATAAATTATACTTTAGTTTCATTAAAAAAGCCAGAAGCTGAACTTCGGTAATCCCAAATCTAGAACTAATACGAAATCATACAAATTTTTATTACATTATGACTGGTTAAAATATCTGATAGCGAATGCATGATATTACATATGACATATAATACAGCGATTAAACGAATGATGCATAAAGATATATGAGAAAATTGATATGCCTACATTTGTCTGTAATTTACACATCTTCATATCATTTTCAATAATATCGTAGAATGTTCACAATTTGAATAATTTTAATTCTGTTTTCTGTGAGTTAAAACAAGATTTGATATGAATTGTGGTCTGCATTATTTGGTAGGGTGCAGTTCTGTATCGATTATCCATCTAATCAGTTATTTAATAAAAATGCTAAAAGAGAAACCAAAAAGACCGCTTGGTCTATTTTAATGCCTGTTGCAGTATTTTAACGTACAAGGTCTTAGTTCGTAATTTATATAGTTTTTGGCTGTTGACTTAAATGCATGTAAAAGTTCACTAATAACAATAGTTTATTCTAGAATGCTATAAAGTTATCGAAATACGGCGATGGACAATAAACTTACTTTGATACAATTAATAAAGCAAAAAGTCTATTGATTCCTTACGAAGCATTCTGATGTATCGCCTTTAACGTTCTATATTTTCTTTGCGACAATTTAGTCCGCATGCATTAGTTGACTAACTGCCAGTGTGTAGGAGTGCGGTTCCGACTATTCACGGCTAGATTACTTCACGTGCACCAATCAAGACATACTGTATGAGGTATCATTCGACACCTGATGGGAAATTGAAATAAATTGTTTTCGGATTCAACCAGAATATTGAAAAAAAAAATTCCAAAAACGTATCCGTGCCAGTTAGGGATGGGCGATTATATAAAAATAATCGATTCCTTGTTAATCAATTAAGTTTAGCAGCAGATTAGTTTGCATCGATTAATCGTCCTAAAGTAATCGATTAATGTTTTTATAATTATCAGGAAATACAAAAGAAACCTTTAATTAATTAATTTAAATGTATAACTACTGTGTTAAAACTATTTGAAATAAATTTTAGCAATACAAAATAAAATAACCGTTAATGCTACAAAAATATCACTTCTTATTTCTTAAAACATGTTTCTTAATAATATTAAATTTTTGTAGCATTATACTATCTATTACGCGAGGTGAATTTTTTGTCTTGAGACACTGAAGAGACAAAAATGCATATTGTACGTAGATAAGAAAGATACATGAATATATACACCTTAACTAAGAAACTCACTCCATATAGAATATTTTGTAATAATACATCGTACGTGTTTCATTAGTATTGATTTTATATATTATATTATTAGCAAAAAAAAAAAAAAAAAAAAAAGAGAAAGTATACACACATTATGTTCACTGTTACATATATCCATTGTAATGCACGTAGTGACTGAAAGGGGTATTAAGTTGGGGTCAAATGAAGCATAAAAATAAATTTTAAAACAGAGAAAAGGTGATAAAATATAAAAACAATATTTATTTGAATACAACGAATATTTTTATTCTATTCGAAAGACAAATCTCAACACTATCAATTATTCCAATTAGTACTTATTGCTATATATGAAAACAATTTCACAAGAATTTGTGAAAATGAATAAACCATTTCGCGGTCCACAATTTAGAACTTATAAAGGCAAGAAACAGCAGCTGAGAGAGATGCTCAGGCGTGGGTCGACTCCTCAAGTACGAGTTTTGTTTCTGAAAATAGTCTCACTATATAGCTAGTTAGAGGAAGTAAATTACCACATATGTGGCTAATACTTATCCACTTTGACATTACCAGAGCCCGGCAATATTTTTTTGTCGAAAATTTGCGTTTTTTCCGCAGCATTCTGTACTACTCTGCTTTGGCAGAGCCGAGAAAGTTAAAGGAACATTAAAACAAGAATTTTTGCAAGTGCAGCTGAAATAAACTTGTAGCAATGCTTGGCATGGCACTCCTACCAATATACTTAATTTAAATAAAAATATTGAAACCAAAATAATTTAATTGATACAGAAACACTGGTTTATTATATTTGAGACAAACAAAGGAGGTGTTGTATGATAAGGAAAGAACAATTTATTAATATTCATGATTTTGAAAAACTGCCATTTTGAAAAACTTGTCACTATTATTCTCAGTTAACGTATAAAATTGAAGGGTTCCCACTCATTGCTAATTCATACCTATATTACTATTTTATCATTGGCATTAATTTCAGGACCCCATTAACTGAGCAGCATTTCAAAATCCTTGAAGACTATGGAATATTAAATGGTCCAGAAATCGAGCGCATGAGAAGTCAGAAGTTTGATGGCATTGTGCACACTCTGTTGACGAAAGACCCCCTACGTTCAGCTCTGGACAATTGTCCTGAAGATTAAGTGAGTCTTCTTCTTATAGTTATTATTACTATAGTACGAATACAATTAGAATGCAATTGACATTTGAGAGTGGAGGGGGCGGCGTTGCCGTATACTACGCGCTCTACCACGGGCACTCAACAGTATCTAGGGAAACAAAAGAAAGGAATGTTGAGAAACTCGTAACACGTGTTAAATTTGTTCGTAAAATTTGTAACATGTATCCCCTGATTTTAGATTACAACAATGTGCAGATGCCGAAGCTTCTGACTAGCTGTTCCCTGGGTTATGGCGCTGGTGTTATCACGTAACCACGAAATGTGAACTATATTATAATTTTATTCGAATTTTACAGTATCATTATATTTTATATGATTTATTATTATCTGTATCAAATCCATAATTTCAGGAGGTTTGAATTAACTCTAAAGAACATTTAAGAAAATATTTCAAATAATATTCAGAAAATTGTTATCTAAAAAAATATACAATTTAATTTTGGCAGCTTGCCTGAGAAATAAAACGACATTAACGATCCAGTGGATTATAAATATTTATTTATTGTACTTTCTCCGAATCAAATAAATATTGATCCATAAACCTCTTGTTTTATTCCACACAATCGATTTACCTCATTTCCTTAACGACTGATCCTATTCATTATTACCGTCCATTAGAAAGTATTCGTTTATACATTTCTCACTCACGACTAATAAATTATTTGCCTGTCAGGACCAGAGGCACCGTTAAAAAAACGGTAAGAGAATTCAGGAAATCTTAATGCTAACTGGTTGAACTACAACACATACTTCTCATATTTTTGGAAATGGTTGCATATTTTATATTGAAACTTATATTTCACTAATATTTCCGCTATTTCTTAAACACTCTTTACTAAACAAAGCAAGACAAGTTCGAAAAAATACCCATCTTTCATTTTTGAAAATTGGAATGCATTTATGAAAATGGAACTTCTGCCATTAATCTTCATCAACGGTAGAAGCGAAACGTCTGTCAATGTATTTTGCTCTACCTTTTCACCTTAGGGGCGCTACATCGGCACATACTTTCTCGCATTATAAACTGTTATTAATATAGAAATATTGCGGTTTCTCCGCAATCAACACCTCAGCTAAAACATAAGTATAATTCAAACGAAGAGCCTGTGGTGCCTCTCTGCATTTACTTCGATAGTCTGGAACGGTAGTCATGTCGTACTTTTACAAGCGGAACAAACATGAATTATATATTGTGCCGCCCCGTCCATGTACGAGCTGCCGTAGGCGACTGTCGCACCGGATAAGGTATTTCAAAAACCGCGCGCCTAGAGAAAGTGCTATTCTCTATGACCACGGAGCTCTGATAAGGGCGTTATCAGCCAGGGCGGTCGCGACATGGGGGGGGGGGCGGTTGGAGGGGGTAGCGAAAAGCGGGGAGGGGGGTGGACGTTAAAACGGCGAGAGGTAGAGACTGCAATTAGCCGATGACACTGCACTATATATATCTCAGGGAAATCTTTAACAACTATTCAAACACAGCTTCAGAATCACTTAAATTTACTAGCAAATTGAGCTAATGTCTGGAAAATAATGTTGAACACAACAAAATCTGCAGCAAAAATATTCACATTAAAACCATTCACAAACCCTCAGCCATTCTTCATAAATAACGACATAATCATTTCGTCACCAACCAATAAAACACTTGGGCTTCGATACTTGACTCAACTGGAAGCAATATATAGAGGTAAAAACTCGGCAAGCCAAAACTAAACTAATTCAACTACGACCCTTACTGAATCAACACAGTCAATTCTCCAAATCCAGCCCGCTCTCCAATGCTCTATTAATCTACAAGACAATTATCCGGCCGACATTACTTTATGCTTGTCCCATCTGAATCAGTGCTGCCAATACCAACCTAAACAAAATGCAAATTATCCAAAATAAATTCTTAAGATTAGTTATAGAAGCACCATGGTTCATCAGTAACAATCAACTGCATAATGATTTTAATATAAACACAATAAAAAACCAAATAGTCTACCTCGCACACAATTTTTACACTAACCTTCCTCGAATTCCTTCTATAAACTAGGCAAAAACCCCAATTATCAAACAGGAATTAATAACGCATATCACCTCCATTCATTTTATAAAATGTTCGCAAACCTGGAATAATACTTTTCTGAGGTGCACCCTGCTTCCTCTCCCACAATCTTTTTTTAATTTTTTTTTTCAATTGTAATGTTTATAATTTTAAGTTAGGTTAAATTAGTATAAGGTAGATTAAGACCATTAAACATTTGCACAGTTAATATGTAAACTGAACAATGTAATGTCAAAAGAAAAAAAAAAAAGAGACAGTTTTTGGCGAGAACTTGTGCAGGCGTAGTGGTGCCCGCAAAAGTAGTGATTTATTAGTGACAATGTCTGAAGTAAAGAATTCCAAAACTGTTAAAGCTTGTGAAAGTAATAATGATATTTCGCAAATTCGTTACACAGTAAGAATTAAAACTAACTCCGTTGTGAACGTAACGAGTCAAAAGATTCTGTGTGAAAAAAAGCGCCAGATCGCGGACGCTTCACCCCAGCACCGCTATTTTGAGGTCGACACCGCGGAGGAAACCGAGTCACGCCTCTACGATGAGTACTCCCAGGAGAATTTATTTGTCATTACGTTGCCGGAGTCATTCTACGTCCGACAGTGGTGGCGCGAGGTAGCCAGAGCTCTGCTGTGCGACCCTGTCAGATCTGTTGCGATAAAACCGTTATTTCGTAGTTCGCCACTCCAATAACGGAAATGCGGGGAGCTAGGCGTCGCAATACTAACAATACTAAATTGTTACCTAGTGAAGTGAACCACACAAGTGCTACTGACAAATAATTCATTGAAATAATTCCGGTGAAGTGCGACTGCGAGTGCAGCTATGACCCTCGCAACTAGTGAAGTGGTAAGCGCTACTTTGCTTGTTCTTAACAACAGTGAGAACCAGTCAGCTACAATGGAAAGTTTCATCCCAGATAACCTAAATCAATTCACCGAAGACGAAATGGAAGTGACGCTGGAAAACATCAATCAACATAAAACCCCAGCGCCGATGGCAAGGAACCGATTCAACTCAGCCAACCTCCAACCGTTCAACTACCAGAAAAAGACTCCCCAGACTCCAGAAAAAGGTTAGTGACAATGATATTAATATAGAGCGTGAAGCCAAAAAATTCAGTTACAGTGATCAAAACTCATAATCTAACTCTCTATTAATTAATGTGCCGGTGATAAACAGGTTCAGACCTCTTAAGTGAACTTGATAAGCAAGCAACCGAAAATAGATTCGCTAATATAACGACCTTCCTAGTAATCAAAGTTAAACCCCCCAATAAAATATCAATCATAGTAGCAGACATCACCAATATTAATAAATTCATCAAAGAACTTAAATCTAAAGTCATCACAAAATTCATTGCAGATCATAAAAACAATAAAATAAAAATAAGCGCAAACTCACTCACGGACTTTCGAAACATAATCAAGTATTTAATTAACACCCATCGAATTTTTCGTTCTTAGAGACCCATTAAATAAGAATTTATCTGTAGTGTTGAAGAACGTCAATCAATCCATTACTGACCAAGAAATATAGGAAGACCCAAAACATCGCTTTCCTTCGCTGATAAAAATCACCACACTTCACAAAGAAAACAGACCTATCCTAGTAGTTGCAGCTGTTTTTTTCAGGACAAGATCCAAAAGACAATATTCTAGCCATTAAGCAAATTTGTAACCATAGAGTAAATGCGGAAACAAGGAAAAATTCCCAAGGTTCCATACAATGACAGTCTAGATTATGGCCATACAAAGAATAATTGCAACAACTCAATTAGCTGCGCTTTTTGTGGGATAATCACTACTCGGTTACTTGTCCTAATAGTATTCAAGTACCAAAGTGTCGTAACAGCCGTTACGCAGTTACGAGGCCAATAATCGAGACTCCAGCTGCCCTTACCTACAAGAATACATTGGAAAAAGAAAAACTGGTAACCAAAACAACCTCTAAAACAGAAATCAAAGATCTTCCCAGCAACCCACACATTACAATCTAACCCATTTCATTCTTCTTCCCCAAACACCAATTCTCAACGACTTCACCCATATTAGTCGTACCACATCTCAGGCCCGCCCAAATTCTATCAACAATCCAAATTCAACCAACCTTCACTAAGAATCGCAACACAACTATCCCATTATAAATAAAATAATTAATGCAGTTGCGTCCTATATAATCAATGCCATAAACACCCTTTTACCCACCATAATCAACTCAATACAAAATTATTTTCCGCCTACATTAACGGAAATAATGGCAACACAACACCTCGAAGGTTTTACTCTCGCCAATTGGAATGCTAACTTCTTAACAAATCAACAAACAGAACTAATAAACGTCTTAAATTCACACCGTATCGATATAATTTGCATCACAGAAACACTTACTCAATTAAACGTAGTTAATAAAAACATATTTTATTACTATCATCATCAAACAAAAAGATTTAATATTACAATTTTGTATTTAGCAGCACGCGAAATTTGCGATTACATCGTAACTAAGCGAATTACATTTTCTGCCCTGCAATCAATTAAAATACTTAAGATATCCAAATCAAAAAATGTCTAATTCGTTGTAGGTTTATTCTGTACATTGTCATAAATCGACAACACACATTTCCAAAATAAAGGGTAATGATACTTGAATTGTTCCAATTGCGCATTCTCATTGGCGGTCCTCATTACTGGAATGAGTCTTATCCCCTCTCGTCCTCGCGGCCCGGGTTTGCACTCAAGTGCAGGGCCCTGCAACTCTCCATCAAAATCGGGGACAAAGCTCGAGGGGGCTACTATATGAGGCGCTAGTGTCGCCGGGTGCAGCTGCAGGTTGGGTTCTCCAACTTTCTCACATAAAAATTGGCTAATTTGTGATAAATACGAAAAGTGTCTTCTTAATGTTCAATTATTAATAATCTATAGTTATGAGAAACCTATGACAAAAGTGAGAACATAGACGATGTCTTTTGTAACATTATGGGCCTGCTTGCGACCCGCGAACTCACGCAGCAGCACGTTTGAAGTATCGTTGTCAGTTCGTGTTTTAGTTCCTGTAAAGAAGGTGATGCAGCAGAGCGCGCCACCATAACTGTTTCCACCGCGTTACATGGGAGTTAAGAGCCCTGCTCAAGTCGTTCGCTTGCGGCTCCTGAGGTCAGTCCAAGTGCGGAATGTTGTGCAGGCCTGCTTTAGGGTACTTTTATGTTGGAGCAGCGATAAACGATAAGAGCAGAGCTGCGAGCGAAGCAACGAGAATGTCCACATGGAAACAAATGGAAGTGTTCATGTTCACCAGCGATAAGAGCGGCGAAATCCCTTTGGTAGGTTTTCGCTGCTAGTATCGCGCTGGTCCGCGCTGTTCACATCTGACACACTTCAGGTGTTGTAAGTGTCGAATAAAATGATTACTGAGAAATTTATCATTTTTGTTTTTGTTAGGAGGCAATTGTGTGACAAAAGGGGCATAAATCACCGCAATATGTTCGTTTTAGACCAATTGTGGTCCGCCTAAATTAGTACATCACGTAAGTTTTAGAGGTTATGTTACGTTCGTTTTGCAATGAACAACAAAAATACAAATAATTATGGTATGTCTGTCATGTGTATTGTTGTATTGTGTTGTAGAAAACTAATTGTTAACTTAAGTAAAGCACATCATCATCTCGCAGTGATAATGTATTATTGTGAGTCATTTTTGTAATGTAGATACTCAGAAGGTACTCTCATTATTTTGTTTGCCATAACTACCCACTTCATCTGTTAATGAATTTGTAATTTGCATCCACCTTATAAAACTAGAAAAGAATTTCTTGTAGTTGTGAGACATTCATCCAAATTGATTGGAATGATTTATTCTTATGTGCTTGCTATTCATGGCACCTTCACAATGTGGATGCAGTTCTAGGAGGCATAATTTGACAGAAATAGTAAAATGAATTTATATTTTAAATGCTATTAAACAATTGTGGATGTTTTATCAGTGAATAAACTGAAGAACAATAGAAGAAAAATTAAATGCCAGAAACAGATTTTTTTAACTTGAAAGTTTATTGGAAGATAATTATTTACATTATTGGTTTTGATAGTACAAATAATATCACATTTCCTTGAACATTTGAATTAAATGTTTGTAATTAAATCAAAATTGAAGTGATTGGGATCAAATAGTCCCATGCCACTATTTGGCAAAATATTGAGGTGTTACACCATATACAACCTTCGGCCTTCCAGTTTATTACTGTTTAAGATTTAAGAAACATTTTAAAATAAAACTAGCTTACCAATTACCTTTATCACTTCCCTGATAATCTGTTTTCTTTGAAATTTTCAGTTTCTACTTAAGAATTTAAAATTATTAATTTACAATGGTTTTTGAAAAACACGCAATCATTTCAGAAGACAATTTGGAGAGTTGTAATGATAATGTTAGTGTCAACATTAACTGAGGACACCTAAATAATAATCTTTTGGAGATGATTTTGTACATTTGATGTTTTTTTGTAAATGTAGTATTCAGACTTTATATTCAGTTAAATTAAACACCAACATATCAGCACAATATATGCTCTTTACAAGCACAATAGGACACATAAACTGATAATTCAATTAAGATTGATAAAATTAACACCAAAGTGAACAATTGAATTCGCTTGAAGAAGAAAAACTTCGAAATAAGTACGCGCTAGCATCAACTCGCTCGCGGGCTCTTGCTGCGTGTTGCAGGGGGAATTGAGCGAGGTTGACATATCTCTCTTTATCAAGCATGCCAATACCCAGCGAAAAAAAGAACTATGGACCTCGTAGGCTGTAATGCTTCTATTGCGTAGGGGAATGAAGTTGAGGTTGACTCCTACTGCGGTTCAACTTAAATCGTAACCAGAAGTCCCTAAGCCAATTAAGGATTAATTATGGTGGGTGATTTACATAAGGTTGGTATGGAAGGCAGATTCGGAGCGGCGCTGCTTCGCGATGCTCCGACATGAACACACAAGCCCTGCGATTTCGCAACAACAACTCTCTCTTCGCTCTCATCGTTTATCGTTGATTCCGTACTTGGCTCAATACTGTCCACCTCCGCTGTTGCAGCCACTTGCGACTTTTTCTCCGACTTCCGACTGTTTTCACGACTCCTTGTCGCGATTTTCGTTGAGCCGCCGCCGCCGATTCGCCGCCCCAGCCCTGTAACAGCCACGCCTACGATCACCACCTCCGGGGAAAACGGTGTAGCTCTCGGGCCGCTCGCCCTCCGCCGCTGACCGGGGTTCAAATCGGGGTCGATCGATGTGCGGGTTTTGGTAGTCAAAACTGGCAGGTTTTCTCAAGGTTCGTTTCCCCTGCCCCTCAGTTTACCATTGCTTCATCATCGATCATATGCCTTTTATCACCAGCTCAAAATCATTCTCTCGTTTCCAGAAACAGCCATTTGACTCGGGCAATGTTATCATATTGAAGAATATTCACAATCTCACTACCTCTTTCTACGCAACCCACAAATCTTGGTATTTCTTCCCGTGCAGTTGCGTCCTGTCCTCCAGCAACACCTTCCACGGTTTCCACCACCACCGTCACTACTCGTGTTTGTCTCCGCCTTCTGCACTTTTTCTTCGCACTCTCCACTGCTTCTGCTTTCGTCTCCTTCGCTGCTTCAGCCGCCATCTCCGTTACCCGTCGCACTATCCACTTTCTTCTTCTGCTTCTTCGTTATGAAGCTATGACTTACACCAACGCGCACTCTTTGGCTTCCTTCTCCTCTTCCTCCTTCTCCTCTTCCTCCTTCTCCTCTTCCTCCTTCTCCTCTTCCTATCCCTTCTCTCTTCCTCTCTCCTCTTCTCCTCTCTCTTCCTCCTTCTCTCTTCTCCTCTCCTCTTCCTTTCTCCTCTCTCCTTCTCCTCTCCTCCTCTTCCTCCTCCTTCTTCCTCTTCCTCCTCCTTCTCCTCTTCCTCCTCCTTCTCCTCTTCCTCCTCCTTCTCCTCTTCCTCCTCCTTCTCCTCTTCCTCCTTCCTTCTTCTCCTCTTCCCTTCCTCCTTCTCTCCTCTTTCCTCCTCCTTCTCTCCTCTTCCTCCTCCTTCTTCTCCCTTCCTCCCTTCTTCTCCTCTTCCTCTCCTTCTCTCCTTTCCTCTCCTTCTTCTCCTCTTCCTCCTCCTTCTCTTCTCCTCTTCCTCCTTCCTTCTTCTCCTCTTCCTCCTCCTTCTTCTCCTCTTCTCCTCCTTCTTCTCCTCTTCCTCCTCCCTTCTTCTCCTCTTCCTCCTCCCTCTTCTTCTCCTCTTCCTCCTCCTTTCTTCTCCTCTTCCTCCTCCTTTCTTCTCCTCTTCCTCCTCCTTCTTCTCCTCTTCCCTCTCCTTCTTCTCCTCTTCTCCTCCTCTCCTTCTCCTCTTCCTCCTCCTTCTCTTCTCCTCTTCCTCCTCCTTCTCCTTCTCCTCTCTCCTCCTTCTCCTTCTCTCTTCTCCTTCTTCTCCTCCTTCCTTCTCCTTCTCTTCTCCTCCCTCTCCTCCTTTCTCCTTCTCCTCTTCTCCTCCTTCTCTCCTTCTCCTCCTTCTCCTCCTCTCCTCCCTTTTCTCCTCCTTCCTCCTCCTTCTCCTCCTTCTCCTCCTCTCCTCCTTCTTCTCTTCTCCTCCTTCTCCTCCTTCTCCTCCTTCTCCTCCTTCTCCTCTTTCTCCTCCTTCTCCTCCTCGGCCTCTTACTCCTTATCCACCCTCTCTGTCAACGCCTACACATCCGCAGTAATGATTAATAGAGCGTTTCCAGCTGGAACACTGAATGATATAATAAAGTATATTCAGAATATCACTTCTTCCTATCCAACCCATAAATCTTCCTATTATTTCTTCCCACGTGGTAGCGTCTGGTCTCCAGGAACACCTTATATGACTTCCACTACCACCGTCACTATCCCTGTGTGTATCTCCGCCTTCTGCACTATTTTCTCTATGCACTCTCCTCTGCCCTTGCCGTTGACTCCATCGCTGCTTCGGCCGCAAACTCCGTTATCCGTCGCGCCGCCCTTGCCTCCGCCTCCACCTCCACCTCCACCTCCGCCTCCGCCTCCACCTCCTTCATCCACTCCTGCGTCATAGCTTCTAGCAACACCGACGCCTTTTAGGCTCATTTCGTTCTGTAGTGTTACACAGATGCCAGTGGTGGTCTGTGACCTCACCTACGGGCTTGTGCTCTTGTTATGTGATTAAATGCATTGTGCTCAATCTGTACAAAATGAAAACCAGTTGTGCTACAGAATGGCAAAGACTTTATCCTTTATTTAGTTTACTGTTCTCTTTATGGTTTCGCTCCATCCTCTTTCCAAGCGCTATCTATCGGCTCCTAAATCACACTCTCGTGGACCTTATCGTTTCTTTGAGGTTCCAATGAAGCGAACCTTTGCGTTCCCCGAATATTGCGTAAGTCAAGTCTGCATAACGATTTTTTAAATTAATTTTACGAATTTGAAGTTTTTCGAAAGTCATTTTTCTTATTTTTTTGGATGCGATATTCCTAATATTCTTTTCCAAATTAGTAAAAAAATAATTATTTTTCCGAACATATTTAGTTCGTAGAATCTTATTGATATTAATTTTAATTTTACATATGAAGCGATGTTGTGACGTTATATCAAACGGCACGAAAAAAATTAGTCATCCAATATTTCTTTATATTGATGATATATCGAAACAATAGGTTTAATTCTATTTTGTAGGCCGACTTAAACACTTGCTCTACTTTCACTTTCCATCCCATGTCTTCGTCGAGTACAAAAGCAAGGGCTAAAGTGTGCGTTTCTGTTTTATATGGCGGTTTTCATGGTTTTTAAATTGCTTCTGTAGTGCTTCCTGTATCCTTCTGTAGAAGTCAGGCATGCTGTTGTCTAGGCTATCCCGGACGAGCCGCGTTCCAGATACGTTTCGGCTAGCGTATTGTGGCCTTCTTCATAGAGTACTGCTGAGCAGCGAATGTGGCTCGGAAGCCTACGCAACCATAGGCCAGCATGCTATTACAGACTTTTGAAAAACACATAATTTTGACAATGGCATCTGAATGCTAAAATGTCGAGATGCATTTTAGATGTTTTGAAATACTTCTGTATAAGATTTTTTATCTTCGTTACTTAGCAAATTAAATAGCATTGGTAGAGCAATTCCTAATTCTTTTTTTGTATGACTGACGTTCCTCTTAATTAAACTCCGTATCGTAAACGACAGCATTAATGTGCTACAACTTACCTTGAAAGTCTCATCAACAAACCATTTAATACTTCGGAAAAAAGTTCTCTAGATTTTCTTTTGTGGCGAATACTATTACTGTAATCTATTCATACACGAGTTAAATAATGTCGATGGCTAGTCGGCAGATTCTCCAACAGACTTGGTGAAATGAAACTCAGAGAGAAACAACACACTAAATTTATTACAGAACAAAATATACAAAGAAATACAAATTTCTAATGAAAAGTCAAAACGGTAGTGAACAGAATACAATATTTTCTTACAGCTATATAAGTTCTGTTTCCAGATAGTGGTTGGAGAGGGGGTAACACTTGGCATTGCCAGTTGGAGCAAGCGCGCTCTGGGTGGCCCTTATCAGGGAAGGGGATGAGCGTCTCAGGCGAGGTCAAAGGGGCGGGCTTCAGGATCGACGCAATATTCCAAGCCCTATCCGGTAACTTATTGGGGTCACAGAAGGCGGGAGGATGCCATACCATTTATTTTAATTGGAGGCGTAAGCCCTCTTTTGTTCTGGGGTACATGGTGTACTACGCACCGTCTATACGTTGGGATATAACACACGTTTTATTGAAATTATCGTGCAATAGAATAGTTTTCTTACGGTGCGTTCTTGTGATCACAACGGGTAATAAAACTAAACCGGATGTAATGGAATCGTAAAGAATCAAATTCGAAAAAAAAAATAATGTTCGGATTGATGCCGTAGGCTTCCGCAGCCAGTCATGATCTGGGCTGTCCGGGTGACGCCGTGTCGATTGCTGAGGTGCCTACGCAAGGCGGAGAGTAGGTTCAATGCCTATGCGTCTAATGCAATGATGTTTGTTTGGAATGATTTGACAACTTAGTCAAACGGGCAAGATCCCGATTTCTAGCTACAAATCCACAGTTTGTTCTGTGTACTGCTAACTACCGACATATTTTCCCTTTTTTAAAATTTACTAGCTGAACCCGTGCGATTACATCACAAAGAAGGAAGTGCTGTAGAAAGATAGAATATAAAATACTGCATATTACAGAAAATATTTTTTTTATATAAACCAAGATCTTTAAGGCCGGTAAATATACACAGTGCAGTTTTCGTGGAGTTTGGACGTACAGAAAACGTTCAGACCAGACCGCACGATGTCTGCCTGAAAACCGAATACCGAATTTGAGCATAATTTTTCATGTAGAAACATTAGTTTAACTGAAGCGCCTCTAACGGCAAAATCGTTCACTAACGGATTTGTTTACCCGACGCGACAGTAATCGGCCATTTCGATTTTGTGGTTGTGTGTGTCGAATGGTATTGTGCCATTGTGTCAAATAGTATTGTGACTATTCTACTCGTTACATTAAAACCAATCGTGTTTAACTACACACACAAAATGCCTCAATCCGGGTTGTGTATCTCAAAAAGTATCTCTTTTTTTATCCGATTCCTCTTACCGTTTCTCCCTTCTGGCAAGTTGCGCATGATGCCATCTTTTCGCTTCTATTCTAGCCGCGCAATTCGAAAAACGCAAATTTCGTAGCTTTTTGGTAATTATGGAAAGGTGCGATTTATTCAATACATATTTCTCTCCACTCCTAATTGTTTTCTCTTTTTTTCGTACTTCACGTGTTCAAAACCGTTCACTGGGAGCCGGTTAGGGCGGACATAAAACTCGGACTCTTTAAAGCTTTAATATACAGGATGTGTCACGTAACTTTAGTACCTCCTATAACTTTTGAATGGTTGAAGGTATTGCAATGCACTTTTGACGGAGTGCACGAGGGACTGGGGTAATTGATACATATATTCATTTATATTGTATCACTTGTATTCTATGAGATTTTACTTAACTTTGTTTTTTCCAATGAAACTACATATTTTTTCAGTCTATTAAGAGTTTAAAAAGACAAATCAAATGATATAAATATTGCCATATGTTAGATAAGCATTTTTGAGTAATTTTGATTGTTTGCGACTAGTGTTTAACGGATTTTTGAATGTAACAGTTCGCCACAAAAACCTACGCAGAATTTAATTACCCCTATTTAATTACTCTTTACAACGCAAAGAGTAATTACCCCTGCTAGCGCGCGCACGGGGAAGGGCTCTTAGTATTTGAAGATAAAAAACCTATTCCACTCAACCTGAATATGATGCTCATTGTGACTCTCAAACTATATTTTAAAGCTGTGAGCTTTTGAAAAAAAAAATATTTACTTCTAACAAATTACAATTAAATTTTTTTCACCAGGAATATTATAGTTTTCAAATGATAACAAAACGAAGGAAATTATGCGAGTCTACCTAACGAAAATGCACGATTCGATATTATAAATATAGTTAAATATACTCGTGTCAGAAATTAAAAGAGATAGTAATTATGAGTTTTTACGAATAAGGTTTTAGCTGTGACTGAACTGTATTATTCAGTTAAACATATTTAATGAAAAACAGTTCATTACTGT